AAAATATTACAAAAGTAGCTCTTTACCCCACTTAGTTAACACAGCCATAGCTTGATTACAGTTTACTGGAAAAAGATCCAGTCACCAACCATCGGTGCCCGGAGAAACAAGGTTACCATAATTATGGAAGCAGAAAGATGTTCCTTTCACAAAAGGACGATAATTATAAATTCTAAAGAATATGGACCTCCTGGGTATTTGTGGGAAACAAGAACACTGCTTAGATACCCAGATGGCGGAATAAATGGAGAGTTAGTACAAACCCCAATATGGTGTCATCCCCACTGATTCCTTTTTTCCACTTTATTTCCTATTTATGATACCTGAAACACCATGTATGCCCCCATTTTTGTTTTTTTAAATCTTTTATACAGTATGATTTTTGATTCTTGTTTTGAGAGTATCTATGTCTTTGAAAACATTTTAAACCCGTATCCTACAATACATACAGTATCTACTATCTTGCCTTCTTCCTAGTGCTTCCTAGTCCTTACTACTGTGCCTTCTGCCTACAACACCTAACCCTATAACCTTCCTTAGTCCTCACTACCCTGCCTTCTATCTACACCTAACCCTATACCCTCTCTTAGTCCTTCCTACCCATCTTCTACCTACAACACCGAACTGTATAGCCATCCCTTAGTCCTTCCTACCCTGCCTTTGACCTATGAAACCTAATCCTATACCCTCCCTTAGTTCTTACTACTGTGTCTTCTGCCTACAACAGCTAACCCTATATCCTTCCTTGGTCCTATCTAACCTGCCTTCTATCAACAACACCTAACCCTATACCCTCGCTTAGTCCTTCCTACTCGTCTCCTACCTACAGCACCTAACTGTTTAGCCATCCCTTAGTCCTTCCTACCTTTACTACTCTGCCTTCTACCTATCCCTTAGTCCTTCCTACCTTTACTACTCTGCCTTCTACCTATGACACGTAAACCTATACCCTCTCTTAGTCCTCACTACACTCCCTTCTACCTACAACACCTAACCCTATGCACTCTCTTAGTCCTCACTACCCTGAATTCTACCTACATCACCTAACCCTAAACCTTCTTTTAGTCCTTCCTACCCTTACTACCCTGACTTCTACCTATAACACTAACCCTCCCCTAGTCATTCTTACCCTTCTACCTACAACATCTAACCCTATACAGTCCATTAGTCCTTCCTAGCTTACTACCCAACCACCTAACCCTATACCCTCCATTAGTCCTTCCTGCCCTGCCTTCCACCCACAACACCTAACCTAATACCCATCCCTTAGTCCTTCCTACCATTACTACTCTGCCTTCTATCTACAACATGGAACCCTATACACTGCTTTTGTCCTTCCTAGCCCTACTACCCTGCTTTCTACCTAAACACGTACCCCTATACCCTCCCTTAGTCCTTCCTACCCTGTGTTCCACTTACAACACCTAACCTAATACCAATCCCTTAGTCCTTCCTACCTTTACTACTCTGCCTTCTACCTACAACATGGAACCCTATACCCTCCCTTAGTCCTTGCTGCCCTTACTAGCCTTGCCTTCTATCTATGACACTACATCCTTCCTTTAGTCCTTTTCTACCCTTTCAAACCTCAATCCTCCCCCTCAGTTTTTCAATGTTGAAATGCTAAATTGCGCAATGTATTGCCATTTGAATCAAGATACGACAACACTGATTGTGATTTATGTTAACTTACATTGTAACTTGGAAAATAAATATATAAAATAACAAAAAAATAAAATATATATATATATATTTCAAATGTGTGAATTCACAGGAAGCATGTATGATTCTTTTGAGTTGGGCTGTGGAGTAGAGATTCCCTTTAAGTCTGTTCTGAGTGGCAGGTAAAAGCTTTGAACTGCGTTGCTATCCATATACACTGGTGAAAACAGCCAGAACCGAGATGCCCTTGTCAATAACCCATAATGAGCAAAAACTCTGCTAAGGAGAAAACAGTAGGCAAAGAATTGAACAATTCTGGATATTTTACATCTGTGCTTTCCATCTTGTTTGAAGAGCAGCAGAATTGAATCCCGTTGCCTAAGCTCAAAGTCATTATTATGTGGAATATGTTCGTGCTGTTCGCGGGAATATAAAGACAGTTACTTCAGCCTGACAATGCTGTGCGTGCCTGCGTGCGCATGCTGAACAGTGGCAATTACAGACCATTATTTTTCTATGCCGCTATTGGGTGTGACTAATCAGAGCACGGAACTGGAAGGGGAGACAGCGTTCCAGACAGCGATGCGATGACATAATTAGTCACAAGTCAACAAGTGCTAAGTGAGAGATGCCCAAAGAGACATCTTCATAAATAGCTCCGAAAGGCATCCCAGGGCGAGATAAAAACTGTCAAAATGTGACATCTGCCAGATAATCACCGCATCCGGCTTTAATAATATCTCCGTGGCATGCGTTAACCCATGTTTTGCTAGTGTATTGCACATATTGATAGAAACCGCAGAGGTTCTCCAAGCGGGTGGGTTTGGCACTGGGAGCCCGACACTGGCAGCGTTGGCCATGGGGATGTCAACACTCAAAACAAGTGAAAGACAAATATGTTCACACCTGACCTCTAACCTATCTCCAGAATTTAAACCTAACCCTGAATCTCAAGTGTAAAATACTTTGTTAATCCAGCTCTGTCCACATGCCCCGTCCTTTTGAAACGTGAGAACTCTGGGATACCCACTATTGGTTTGGTGTGTCAAGAGCCAAGCTCAGTCCAATCCAGCCTTTAAAGCCATATTATTGCCCAGTTCTGTGATTGGTGCTCTCACTGACCAATAGTGTGGTTTGAAAGAAGTGAAGGGCAGGGCCCGGAAGCAAATACCCATGAGAGCACCTGGGGAATTAGAGCATAATAAAAATAAAAAAAACTAATGTGAAGGCATCTGCTGTGGCCTATAATGTCCTGACAATGTTGGATTACCAATCCAACTTTCTTTAACTTCCCTCCTCACAAGGCAACAAGTGCACTTTAATAGCAGCCCAACCAACTCCTGTGACCTTTACTTTTCTACTGCTACATTTGGCATTAGGAGCAAAAAAAGGTACTCTGGAGTATGGGGATCATGTGACTCGTGCCACTTCCTTCCACATGACAGTCCTGGTGCTAGGTGATTGGCTGCTCTGACACCAAGTGCTGTCACCCAGAGAGTCATCAGTGAAGTGTAAGCTCCAGGATGTGGCTTGGAGCCCATACGGGTCTTACCCACTTACTTGCAGTGGGTGAACGTGACAGAAAGGAAGATAAGTATATGCAGCTGGTTGGGCCGCCATTGAAATAATTTGGTTCTATTTGCCCAGCATAGAAAAGCATAGATTCTATTTAACACATGACCTGATTCTAACACTTTACCCTTTACCTAACCCCTAGAAATGACCCTGAAAACCATATATTTGTATTCCAGCCAGATAGGAAACACCACTGATTGTAGTTATTGTAGTTGAGTTTTCATTTCATTTAACAAGTACCTGAATTTGTATTAGTATCAAACTCCTTTAATCCCAGGCACAGCAGCATTCAGACAAGGAAAGGGGG